CACCCGATGAAAAACCTCCGCAAAGAATGCAGGTACTTCCGACACGGACCGACCCCTGGTGTCTTCCTAACTGTTGTTGAGCAGTTATAGTTTTTAATCATACCTTGGTATGTTCCCGCTTGTACCAACAATCCTTAATAGGGATTATAATAGGGGGTTCTACAATCCCGACTAAGGACTGGTCGTATAAAGGGGAACATCCCAACTCATACACAGCAAAATTTCTTGCAGCCCCTTGCGCTGAAGTGTCTTACTCATCCCTCAGACGGTCGGAAGTAGGTCCTCTTGAAAGACGGAACATGCTGTTCAACGACCGCTCTATCACGACAAGGCTGGCACCAACAGAGGCTCCCAACATCTCTCCTATGGCCCAGGCCAAACAGAAGCACTTCCTCAGCTTCACCCCGCACCCTTCAGGCAACGCCAGTCTCGGCAGCACGCTTGCCATGCAGCCTGGCCTAAAACAACCCTAAACCCTAAACCCTAAACCATAAACCCTAAACCCTAAACCCCAAGCCCCAAACCCTTACCTCCCGGAACAATCATTGCTCGCAAAAAGCCCCATCTCAGGAACCGCGCTTCTCGAGTGCGTTGCGATCCAAGGAAGCCTTAGACCTAAACAGGGGGTGCCTATAGACCCTCAAGACCCTGGACCCTCAACCCTACTGCCTAATGCCATGAGGCTAAACCCTAAACCCTAAACCCTAAACCCTACACCCTAAACCCTAAACCCTAAACCCTAGACCCTAGACCCTAGACCCTAGACCCTAAACCCTAAACCCTAAACCCTATTTTTTTGCTCGAGGTCTCTCTGACGTGCCTGGCTCGCCTGTTACAGGCCAAGACCAACATACCGTCTGACCTGTGCATCCCATTCCGTTTTGGCCTGGGCTATCCACATCACAACCGCAAAGTCCCTCCACGCTGTTATAAACCCTAAGCCCCAAACCCTAAACCCTAAACCCCAAACCCTAAACCCCAAACCCTAAACCCTAAATCCTAAACCCTAAACCCCAAACCCTAAACCCTATACCCTAGCAAGCTGTCAGAGCCTGCTTGCCGGGTAATGGCCGCTCGAGCAGTCGGCTGAGCTTCTCGTCCATGGTGGTCACGCAGCGTTCTCGGGGATGGTTAAAGCTTTATAGGGTTTTTTAATGGTTTGTCGGGTTTTCTCGCTTTCATGGGAGTTTGTAGGGTTTGTTGTTCAGGTTTATAGGGTTTTTTTATGGTTGACAGGGTTTCGGGCGCTCAAACGCGCAGGCAACAAGCAAAAAGCGAAGGTCTCCCTTCAACCGAACTTCAACAGCGGTGGTTTCCGCAATAAAGTTAAGGGTTCTAGGGCTTAGGGCTTAGGGCTTAGGGTGGCCCGAACCCAGCGAGTTCCTGGATCCCACGTTCTGGAACTTGTCAAAGTACCCTTGCTGCAATGCGGACATCATCTTCATTCCTAATCGATAGCAGAAGGGTGCAAGCCTTCAGGGCGTCAGATTCACTTTAGGGTTTAGGGTTTAGGGTTTAGGGTTTAGGGTTTAGGGTTTAGGGTTTAGGGTTTAGGGTTTATTTAGGGTTTAGGGTTTGGTAGGCTGGCGTTGTGAGGTAAACCCTCAAGCTGTCCGCGGTGACAGCGAAACACCCTGAAGAACCCCCCTAAAATGCTAAACCCAAAATTACTAAACACCGTAAAAGCCCCAAACCCTAAACCCTCAGAGCCCCAAAACCCTAAACCCTAAACCCGATAACCCCCCCCCCCCCCCCCAACCAAAATCGAAGCTGCGCCGAGGGTCTCAGGGCCGCCTGCTCCGTCGAGTGCGCCGTGCAGAGACCCAGAATCACCTTCCCACGCCGCTCGTTGGGGAAGGGGGGTGGGGGGGGGGGTTGGGTTGGGTTGAGGGTTTGGGGTGGCTTTGGGGTTTAGGGTTTAGGGGTTGAGGGTTGAGGGTTGCCGAGGTGTTTTTCTCCCTCCCGGCTTAGGGTGTCTGACAGGGGTCGGATATGGACCGTTATAATCTTCGCAGTGCTGACTCTCGAACTATGTAGCCCAACAACCATATCACACAAACAAAATACCAACAAAATACCAAATGATAGTTTCAGATGCTCTTCTGATCTTAATATTGTTGTAAATTGAGTTTTGATAATCAGGGCGAGTTGAAAAAGAGGAGGCCAAATGGATACCGCCGGATGAAGGTTGAACGGTTGACAATAGGGGATAGGATTTAGGGGGACTCTTCGGGATATGGACACTCTGAATAAGGCACTTAAACCCTAAACCCTAAACGCTAAACCCTAAATAAACCTTAAAACCTAAACCCTAAACCCTTATCCTACCTAGGAGTTAATCGGCAAGGTACATCCATCTGTTGTTGGAGACTCCGGTCCAGCCCACGGTCCTCCGCGGCGTTCGGGCTTTTCAGGGGCCCTAAACCCAAAACCCAAAACCCTGAACCCTAAACCCAAAACCCTGGGTTAAGGGCTGAAGGGTTCATGCTTGTGGGGGGGGGGGGGGGGGTGGAAGGGCTCAAGGGCTGAAAGGGTCATAAATTGTGGGTTGCAGGGCGCAGTGCTTTCAGGGCCGAAGGGTTTCTTTTTTCAGGGCTGAAGGTTCATTGTTAAGTTCCTATAGAGGATTGAGTCCTAAACCCTGAGCCCTGAACCCCAAACAAGGGCTTAGAGTATTAGGGTGGTCCAAAACCCCTGTGCCGTTTCGGGCCAAGCTGCGGACATGTCGACCCGCTGCTAGGATGCCCAGAGCCGAACATCGGAACAAGACTTAGGGTTGGGGTTGAGGGTTTAGGGACTAGGGTTCAGGTGAGGGTTCAGGGTTTAGGGTTGAGGGTTTAGGATTTAGGGTTTAAGGGTGGTTCTAGATTTGGGCCACATGTCAGAAGGAAACTTGTCGTCAACACTAGCTGTGCTCTAACGGCCTTTTGACCAAAGGGTAAAGCCACAACTTCCTAAAAACCCTGCACGTCCTCCGATTCGAAGTGGATCACGGAGTGGATCGAATCTTGCAGGCTTCCGCTCGGCCCAGGATAATCCATATCCGTCCCTCAGCTTCGACACTACGACCCTTCAAGGGTTTAGGGTTTAGGGCTTAGGGTTTAAGGAGGTTTCATGAATTAGGGTTTATAAACGCCCGGCTCTCCGAAACCAACCATTTCCTGCTTCTCACTTCTCAAACAATGCCACCCAGTGCTGCCAATGGATGCTGGAAAGAGCTCTTTCTAAAGCTAGGACGTGTGTGTGCTTGCATCAGAAAACCCTAAATGAAACAATCGTAAGCCCTAGGAGCCCTCTAAAGCCCAAAATGTTTAAGCCCCTTTTATTCCTTCGCTCCAGTTCGCAATGACACAGGGCTCAAAGGGTGTAAAACTTGGGCTATAGGGTTCATTAGGGTGTGGGGGTCTAGGCGAAAGGCTTTCGGGGCGGGTTTAGAGCTTGTACAGGGCTTTGGGGGGGGGGGGGTGTCCGTAGACTGCCCTACAAAGCCTAAACCGCTGCCTTTTTTTGCATCCGGACTCCTGTGGGTGCTAAACAAGTGCCCTAAAGTGCCCTAAACCCTAAACCCTGATTAAACCCTAAGCCCTAAGCCCTAAACCCTAGACCCTAAACCCTAAAAGTCTGAGGATGAAAAAACAGACTGCCCAGGTTCCCTCAAGGTCCGACGTGGGGAGGTCTGCCATGGCCGGCAGGAGGTCTTTCGGAAATGAATCTTCAGGCTAGTCTCTCGTGGAACTTTAGACTCTTGGGCCTCTCTCTTCGGGGAAATAGGGTTCACGAGTCCAAGCGTGGGCTCATTTGGTTCATGAAGGGCTCTGTAAGAAAAGCTTTCGTGCTTGCTACGCCCATGTGCATGTATTCATTCCATGCTCCTGCTCCAGAACGACCTGCGGAAGACAAATGTTGGCACCTCTCTTTCCGGTCACCCTAAACCCTAAACCCTAAACGACCCTAAACCCTAAACCCATGGCTGAGGGTACCGGATTCGGGGCCTTCAGTTCACGGCTTGCTAAAGCTCGGTCCTAGTGGCTTCAAAGCGTAAAGAACCGATGCAGATGATGGTGGCTTGCGGCGGACGGTGGAAGAAAGAACCTTATGTCTGACCCAAACCCTGAAAAAATGGCTATTTTGATGGCATTCTGAGGCGCCACCTGCTGTTGGGGAAGTGGTGGTTCAACTCTACTCAGCCAGCGGCACAACAAGGAAGCCACCCAGTTGTCTGAAAACCTACTCGTAAGCCCTAAGCCCAAGCCCCAAGCCCTACGCCCTGAGCCCTAAGCCCTAAGCCCTGAGCCCTACTCCAACCGGGCTCTTTCAACCACGCTCCGCAGTTGGGTGGCAAGAGTCGCACCCTGGGACAAACCACCCCTACGTGCTGAGGGAAAAAGGGCTTAGAGTTTAGGATTTAGGGTCTTAACCGCCACCTCGGTCGCCTTTGTTCGCTCAAAGCTGTTTGCACGAGGCATCGGGTAGTGCAGTACATGGCTGTCTGCTTCACTGCTCAGGAGCCGAGGACGGGCTGCATCCAGGCCTCAAGGTCGGGGCCCAAGCTAGTCTTCTAGACCCAAAAGTAGCCTAGGAATAAACAGGGCGGGTTAAAGGGCTGTTTAAAGGAACCTAAAGTCCCAGTCTTTAATGGGTTTAAGGGGCTGATAGGGGAACCTAAGGTCCCAGTCTTTAATGGTTTTTTCTCCCCAAACCCGCCCCGAACGGTTTTCAGGCGATTGCGCCAGGTTCTTTCAGGGATTCTGGGTAGGATTCTCGCTTTGTGGCTTCAGTGAGCTTTGTTGGGAGGCTCCCCGAAAGCATGCATTCGGCTCTCTGACACTTATGGTCCTTCTTGGGGGGTCGAGAAAGGTGTAACAGGAACCTCAAAAAAGGTGACCATAACCTGCCAGGGGCATTGTTGAGGGGCACACCCCCAACCCCCCACCACCCGTAAGAGCCTGCATTGTCAAGGTTCACGGTGTCATTGCTCCATAAGGAGCCTCATGCCTCGACTATCTTCCTGACTGCCTCCGAACGCGAAGCAGAGAGCGACCTTCAAGTGAGATGGAGACCTTCATCCTCGAAACCCTCTGGCGCATGGGCCAATGGTTGCGCCAGCAGCCCCGTAGGTCCCCGACCACTGATACCATCAGCGCTGCCACGGACAAGAAGAGAATGGCGGAGGCAACCTCGGTGGGTTCTCTCTACAACTTCAATCCATGAAAAGCTCCTTCAGCGCCAACATCACAGCAATGCACGTGCTGTTCTTGTGCGGGGGAGAGCACGTGCCAAAAAGAGTCTCGGTTTCGACTACAAGGTCTATGGAGTCGGGATCGCCCTCCCAAACAGCGTCAAACAACCTTAATGGCTCTGAACTTCAGCGCAGGCAGCGTAGCGCAAAGCCAAGATGAGCAGAACGGCCACCTTCGTCGCAATATCCTGGCCGCCAAGCCGAAGGGAGAATGCTTGGAGCGCTTTGTGCAGGTTCCAAGCTTGCGGGAAAAACGAGCAGAAGTTCAGGGGGTTTGCGGCTTTCAAAACCATGTTGGGGGGCCACCCTGTCGATCAACTGCTCGGTCATCAGCTCGCTCTCTGCCACGAGGCTGCACTTCACTTGGATGACCACCGCTGCAGTGGCCACCTTCCAAGGCCAAGTGAGCGTTGGTGCTTGAGATCTATAGAGGGCAAGCCAACATAGGTTCGAATACTACCCTAAAGGCCCAGCTTGAGATCCAGAGGTCCTTGGCCACCACCCCCGCAATAGTAGGTTCAAATACTACCCTAAAGGCCTAGTATATACCCAAATAGAATACCAGAAAACCCGAATGTTCTCTAACCATCTCATCTCTCTCTCTCTAAATTCGTCCTGGTCTCTGTGTTGGTGTGTCTCCTTCTCCTTTCTACACACATTGCATGTTTCGTATCCTTCTTCGTACTTCTCAAGTTTCTGCATGATTTGAGACCACTGCGATATTTTCACTCATTTCCACATTCCCACGAAACCGATTTCATTCCTTGGAACGCATTTCCAAAGAACTGCCCCGACACCAACGCTTACCTCTCTCCAGACTGCTTATTGCATGCCTTCTTCAACTGCATAGTTCTGAACTCATCTGTGTGCTTTAGCCACGTTCATGCCTTACGCTGCACGCATGATGGCTTAGCGTTCTTGCCTGCAGGAAACTCAACTACAAGATAATGATCCAGGTTGTCCTTAGTCTTAAAGGATGTTCTGAGTAGGTTTCGTGTTTTCGTCGGTTTGGGATTGAACATGTCTCCTCAAAGATGCGTTCTTGCTACTTTCATAACATATGTCGCTTCAACGGGTGTGCTGTTGAAGCTCTTTTAAATTTTTAGACTCCCTTCAATTGAGGTGACTTTTCATCCTTTCATGCTAACTCTGGTGTGCTGCCTATGGCTGCCACTCTCATGAGAATGCTCCTACTGTGAATCTGCTTCTGCGCTAAGATTTCTATACTATGGGAAAGATCATTAGCAGCGGGCCAATTTAATGCAATTTCGTTGGTGTCATGTAGTTGCAGTGCTATTGGTCCTGTTTTCGGGTCGGTTGTTCTATTTGCTTGTAATTTCAAACTCATGTCGGCCACCGGTACAACATTTCAGGGGTTGTTGATGTCCGCTCGTTGAACACCTTACCATTAGTCCTGATTAAAATGTTTCATGTACGCATGTTACGCATGTAGCGCCACCATCAAACATTGATGTAGAAACGAAATAGGCAGTACCTCCCCGTACCTTAAATACGTCCACGCCGCATTCGCTGCAACTCCTACTCCACTGCACCGTACCGCATTGAAACTATCCATGTCGAGAAGTAGTTGCTGTGCTGTATCGTGAATGTTATTAGCTATCAACACTTCTAAACCTTCATCTGGCCGGAAGCTAGAAACCTTCTTCAACCCAAAACCAGAACCTAAACACCAAACCCTAAACCCTAAACCCTAAAACCTAAACCCTAAACCCTAACTCAGGAGGCCCCTGTTGGCAAACTGAGGCTCGCGCCATCATGCTGCACTGGGCCTAAGCGCTGAGCATTCGAGGCCCAGGTCGAGGGACAAAGCCCCATAACTTGTCGGGTTTAGGGTTTAGGGTTTAGGGTTTAGGGTTTAGGGTTTAGGGTTTGGGGTTTAGGGTTACGAAGCTGAAATCAGACTTGGAGCGGCAACATAATTCTCCCATCACATAGCTCAGCACTAGATCTAGGTTGCCCAGTATTCCGCGATTCCAAAGGGTGCCCTTTTTTTGCTTAAAGGGGTTCATCATAGGGAACCTAAACCCCCCAAAAAAGGGAATCAGGGGCACTCCAGGGCATCCTGGGGCTTGGGTGAGCTAAGGAGCTGTGCTAAGACGCGCCAACTCCGAGCATGATTGTGCGGTGACGTGGAAGGCGTGAGAAGGGCACGTGTTGAAGCAAGCAACCTGCTCAAAGCCATCAGAGCTCCAAAATGCCCAACCCCCCCCCCCCGTGGGTGGCTTAAATAGGGTCTATTTGGAAGCTGAGACTCGGGTTTTTAGACTAACCAATGCGTCTCCACGAGAGTATTCTTGGAAGCTGAGAGTGGTGTTTTTGTGTGGTAGATACAAAGGAAAGGGCATAAGAAAGTAGCGAAAGGAGCTCCTCAATTCCCTTCCTTATCTCCTATGCTCTTTTCTGTATTCATTGCAACAGGAGAATACAGGAAAAGGGCCTCCATTCCCCTCTTGTTCTTCCTTTCTTGTGTTTTTGTCATTTAAAGGGGAACAGGAGAAGAGAAGGGAAAGAGAAGGAGAGAGGAGAGATAAAAGGAAGACAGTTTTAATGGGAAGAGCCAAGAAAAGAATAGAAAAGAGAGATGAACAAAGAAGATGGAGAGACAAAACAAGGCGCAAAGAAAATGGCACTCTTCTTTATCTATCCTCTCTCCCTTCTCTCTCCCTTCCCTCTTTCTTTTCGAAACAGAAAAACGAAAAAGGAAGAACTTGAAAAGGAGAAGGGTAAGGAAAAGAGCAGAAGAGACAGGCCGAAAAGAGGGATATGATGAAGTATGGGCAAGGTCCACGCGCAAGGAGTCACTCTCTGCTTACCCTTCCACTGCTTTATCATACAAGTTCCTTTCCTGTGTTATATTAGTTAAAAGGTAACAGAAGGAGAGAAGGGCAAGAGAAGCGAGAGAGGAGAGACAACAAGGAGGCCATTTGAATTTTCTGGAGGGGCACTGAAAAGAAGAGAAGACACAATAAACAAGGAGACGGATAGCACTCTTCTTTATCTATCATCTGTCCCTTCCTTGTCTCTCGCTTTTCCCTCTATAATTAAAAAATAGGTGCCCTCTCTCCTCTTCAGGAAGCCCCCTTGCCCTTATTTTGCTAGCTTTCTGAAACGACAAGGAAAACAACACATAGAAAGAGAGGAAAGGGAATGAAACAATAGGCAGTGGAGCTCTTCAGTGTCTTTACCTATCTCTTTTCTTCTTTTTCTTTTTCATTCAATAAGGAAAAGAAGCTTCCTTTGGTGTGATTTTGAGATTCAAAAGAGAACAAGAGAAGAGAAGGGAGAGAGAAAGGAGAGAGGAGAGATCAAAAGGAAACAATTTTCATGGGAAGAGCAATGAAAATCATGGAAGAGAAATGAAGACAGGAGAGGGAGGTGCAAAATCAGGCAAAGAGAAGATGGTGCTCGTTTTCTTCTTTCCTCTCTTTCTTATCTTTCCCTTTTAAATAAAAAACAAAAGGAAGAACAATGAACATGTAAAGGAACCCATTTTCTTTTTCCGTTTGGGAACAAGGAAAAGAACAGAGGCGATAGGGCGAGAGGAGGGATTTGCTGCAGCGTGGGGAGGGTCTACGGACAAGGAGCCAACCCCGCTCACTTTCCCCATCCATTGGAAAAGAAAGGAACATGGCCTCCATTCCCCTCTTGTTCTTCCTTTCTTGCGTTTTTGTCATTTAAAGGGGAACAGGAGAAGAGAAGGGAGAGAGAAGGAGAGAGGAGAGACAAAAGGATTGCATTGTTAATGGGAAGAGCAAAGAAAAGAATAGAAGAGAGATGAATAGAGAAGAGGGAGAGACAAAACAAGGCGCAGAGAAGATGGCACTCACTCTTTATCTATCCTCTCTTCCTTATCTCTCCCTGCCATCTTTCTTTTCGAAATAAGAAAACAAAAAGGAAGAACTATGAGAAGGAGAAGGGTAAGGAAAGGAACAGAAGAGATAGGCCGAGAGGAGGGGTATGATGAAGTATGGACCGGTCCACGCGCCAGGAGTCACCCTCTGCTTACCCTTCCACTGCCTTATCATACAAGTTCCTGTCTTGTGGTTTATCAGTCAGAAGGAAACAGAAGGAGAGAAGGGAAAGGGAAGTGAGAGGAGATAACAAGGATGCCATTTTTCTGGAAGCACAACTGTACCGGAATGTGGCCACAACAAGCAGGCCAGGGAGGCTCAGGCGGGGCAAGTCTCTCCCTAATTAGAAAAAATCAACCTTGCTATTCACAGGTAGGCGCCCTTCTTCCTCTTCAGGAAATCGCCTTTCCCTTATTTTGTTATTTTGCTTTTTGAAGCGAATAAGAAAAACAACAAATAAGAAGAGAGGACAGGAAATGACTAGGTAAAGAGAGGAGCTTTTCAATTTCCTCCCTATCTCTTATGTTACTTTTCCTTCTTGGGCGGGTGTCCTTTTTCTTCCTTGAAGATGCAGAAAACTATCAAAAAGGACACCCGTTCCATCGCCCACAATTCCCTTCCTTATCTCCTACGCTCTTTTCCTTATTCATTGCAACAGGAGAATTCAGGAAAAGGGCCTCCATTCCTCTCTTGTTCTTCCTTTCTCGTGTTTTTGTCATTTAAAGGGGAACAGGAGAAGAGAAGGGAAAGAGAAGGAGAGAGGAGAGATAAACGGAACACAATTCTAATGGGAAGAGCCAAGAAAAGAATAGAAAAGAGAGATGAACAAAGAAGATGGAGAGACAAAACAAGGCGCAAAGAAAATGGCACTCTTCTTTATCTATCCTCTCTCCCTTCTCTCTCCCTTCCCTCTTTCTTTTCGAAACAGAAAAACGAAAAAGGAAGAACTTGAAAAGGAGAAGGGTAAGGAAAAGAGCAGAAGAGACAGGCCGAAAAGAGGAATACGATGAACTGAAAAGAAGAGAAGACACAAGAAACAAGGAGACGGATAGCACTCTTCTTTATCTATCTTCTGTCCCTTCCTTGTCTCTCGCTTCTCCCTCTATAATTAAAAAATAGGTGCCCTCTCTCCTCTTCAGGAAGCCCCCTTGCCCTTATTTTGCTAGCTTTCTGAAACGACAAGGAAAACAACACATAGAAAGAGAGGAAAGGGAATGAAACAATAGGCAGTGGAGCTCTTCAGTGTCTTTACCTATCTCTTTTCTTCTTTTTCTGTTTCATTCAATAAGGAAAGGAAGCTTCCTTTGGTGTGATTTGAGATTTAAAAGAGAACAAGAGAAGAGAAGGGAGACCCGGGCTCGTAATTTAGTATTGAGGGGGAGGCCCGGCCTCGTGATTTAGTATCGGGGAATTTAAAAAATCAATTTCATTTCAATGTCCAGGGGCCCGATTTGGCCAAATTTTGCCGGGCAAAATTTGGCTAAATCGAGCCGCGCATTTCTCATCGCGTACGACGAGCAGCCCGATTTGGCCAAATTTTGCCCGCAGACTGCCCGGCAAAATTTGGCCAAATCGAGCCGCGATAGTTCAAATAATTTCGGGCCTCCAGAAAGGCGCGGCTCGATTTGGCCAAATTTTGCCGGGCAGCCTCCGGGCAAAATTTGGCCAAATCGGGCTGCCCTTCGTATGCGATGAGAAATGCGCGGCTCGATTTGGCCAAATCTTGCCCGCAGGCTGCCCGGCAAAATTTGGCCAAATCGAGCCGCGCCTTTCTGGAAGCCCGAAATTATTTAAACTATCGCGGCTCGATTTGGCCAAATTTTGCCGGGCAGCCTCCGGGCACTTTTGGCCCCCCCCCTTTTCGGATTTAAATTATTTAAAGTATTTAATTCCAGGGTGGAATTAAATAATTTTAATAATTTAAAGCCCCCTTGCCCTTATTTTGCTAGCTTTCTGAAACGACAAGGACAACAACACATAGAAAGAGAGGAAAGGAATGAAACAATAGGCAGTGGAGCTCTTCAGTGTCTTTACCTATCTCTTTTCTTCTTTTTCTTTTTCATTCAATAAGGAAAAGAAGCTTCCTTTGGTGTGACTTTGAGATTTAAAAGAGAACAAGAGAAGAGAAAGGAGACCCGGGCTCGTAATTTAGTATTGAGGGGGAGGCCCGGGCTCGTGATTTAGTATCGGGGAATTTAAAAAATCAATTTCATTTCAATGTCCAGGGGCCCTGCCGGGCAAAATTTGGCCAAATCGAGCCGCGCATTTCTCATCGCGTACGACGAGCAGCCCGATTTGGCCAAATTTTGCCCGCAGGCTGCCCGGCAAAATTTGGCCAAATCGAGCCGCGATAGTTTAAATAATTTCGGGCCTCCAGAAAGGCGCGGCTCGATTTGGCCAAATTTTGCCGGGCAGCCTCCGGGCAAAATTTGGCCAAATCGGGCTGCCCTTCGTATGCGATGAGAAATGCGCGGCTCGATTTGGCCAAATCTTGCCCGGAGGCCCGGCAAATTTTGACCGGCAAATGTTGTTCCTACCCGTTCCCGTTTTGTGTGGTATTTGCATCACTTTTCCATGGTGCCAAGGGGATCCCGGCAAATTTTGACCCGCAAAGTTGTTCCTACCCTTTCCCGTTTTGTGTGGTATTTGCATCACTTTTCCAGGGTGCCAAGGGAATCCCGGCAAATGTTGACCCGCAAAGTTGTTCCTACCCTTTCCCGTTTTGTGTGGTATTTGCAGGACTTTTCCAGGGTGCCAAGGGAATCCCGGCAAATTTTGACCGGCAAAGTTGTTCCTACCCTTTCCCGTTTTGTGTGGTATTTGCAGGACTTTTCAAGGGTGCCAAGGGAATCCCGGCAAATTTTGACCGGCAAAGTTGTTCCTACCCGTTCCCGTTTTGTGTGGTATTTGCATCACTT